TACGTTTTTTAGAATTTTCTTGTATCTCACTAAGCTTCTTTAGAATCAATAATTTGAATTATTTTGGGGGGACTTAATGAATTTTGTTTTGATTGGGATGTGTTGCTGGAAAATTATTCTTTTCCTTGGAAGGTGTTTCTCATGTTTGATGTATTCTTACATTCATATCTACATATCTGGTGTAACAGTCACTTCTGCCAGCTTTTAAAATTTGCTTTCATAGGAGAATATTCTTTCCTGTAGGTGTATCTATGGTATTGGATGCACAGGGCACTTTGGCTTTTATTCTGAGTGTGTTCAGTAGCATGGTCTCTGTATGATTTATTTGGCTGTAAATAGCATCAGTAGTACCTGTGATTTTCTTAGTGGCTTAGGGTGCAGTTATTAGTGGAGGCTGTGGTGAAATTTTGCTGGGGACTAGGACACCAAGTGGGCCAGTCTTTGGACCCTGATGGTGGCAGCAGTGGGCCAAGTGTGCCTGTCCTTAGGCTCCAGGGTGGCATATGCTTGCACCAGTGTTAGCAGTTCCAGGCAAGCTGATTTTGGGGTCTCCTGGTGTCTTGGAAGCCAGTAGTGGTAGCAGTGCAAGGGTGGGTGGGTTCTCTGACCCCTGGGCAACTGGTGTAGAATGGGCGATGGCAGTTGTGGGACAATCCTCTGTGTCTCGTGCAGTGCATGCTGGTGTTGGCAGTGGCTGCAAAGGGCTGGACAGGCCAGTCTCCAGGCCTGCAGGTGGCATGTGCAGGTAGGTGCCAGCTGTGGTGGTAGCAGTTGGGAAGGTAAGCCCAACCTCGTTTCCCTGGGAGGAGTGTTCAGGTGCCAACATTGGTGGACTGGGCTGGGCAATCCCTTCACTTCCCCTACCCCCCGATTGTATGCTGTTACATGGAGGGGATCAAGGCCAGGCCAATTAGGCTAGTTTTCAGGCCTCCTGATGGTATGTGCAGGTGCCAGCCATGGTAGGTAGGGGCAGGACAATCCCCAGGAATGCTCACATTGTTGCCCTGCTGCTCAGGAGGACAGTGCCACCTTCATTGTTAGCAGCCTTGGCTGATGCGTGGGAAGTATGCACGCCACTTGTCCCTCAGTCCTGACGGTGGTAGCCTGTGCCTTGATGGCACTTAGCCTCGGTGCAGTAGCCCGCAGTCACTTGCACCTAAGCACTGGGTGTAACAGCCCATGTTTCTGTTGAGCCTTAGCCACAGCACTGCTGGGCTCTAGGACACCACAGTTTATTGGAGGTGGGCTCTGAAATGGTGCCTTGCTGCAGCTTAGGTCTCAGGGGTTGTGTGGCACCCAGCGCTAGCGCTCTCCCGAGAACAGTGCTATCACACAATCTCCCAGCAGTGTTAGTTTCCAGTGTCTGGAGAGCCAAGAGACTTTCCCATGGCTAGGATTGCAGGATTCATGGTGGAAATACGGACCACCGAGGTTCTCTTACCCTTTATGCATATTGGGGAATCTCGGCTCCCCACCAATCCTGGCCAAGCCGACTTCCTTCTCCTTCCTTGCTTTAGGTATTTCTTGTCAGTTTTTCTGTTGAATTCCAGTGCCCTCTCTTGGATAATCCATTTGTAGTATGATTAGTCACTATTTCGGTTCTTCTTAGTAGAGAAGGCAAGTACAAATTGCTTCTAGTCAGCCATCTTGAATCCTCTCCCACCTTTTAAGAAACTCAGAAGGGAGTTGATGATTCTGGTCTAATGTGCTTTATCAGGGCTGAACTATGCCTCTCTCTAGTTGCTCCTGGTGTGTGCCTTACATCAGTAAAGGAAAAGAGAGAAATAACAGAGCCAAAATGATAGTGAGCAGAAGAATGAGTTTGGATGGAGAATAAAAGGCAAGGCTGGGCATAGTGGTTCACGTCTGTAGTCCCAGCACTTTGGGAGGCGGAGGCAGGAGGATCACTTGAGCCCAGGAGTTTGAGACCAGCCTAGGCAACATAGTGAGACCCCATCTCTACAAAAAAATAACAAATAGAAGGGCAAGAAGGGAAAGGTTGGTTGGAAAATATGAGCAAAAGGTGTTGAAGTTATTGCTGTTAGAATATATGTATATAAAATTCTCTCTCTCTGTGATTGATTGATAGATAGATAGATAGATAGATAGATAGATAGATAGATAGATAAAAGGTAGACACCTGAGAAGTGCCACTCACTATGGCCTCTCTTACATCTTGGCCCCTGTGCTCTAAGTTGTCTATTCTTGCTCTAGGAACATACTCTCTTTGCCTAAAAATAGACTAGCACCATCAAGCAGTGTATTAGGTCCCTTTTGTTATCTAACTTGTAAAATTCCTGCAAACAAAGAGATGCTTAGAGTAGGAGATTCATTCTAGAGAGAATAACACAATTTTATTAGCTGAGGGAATTTTGTGTTTTGCTTGCTTCCATTGAAAATGTTTGGCTGTGTCATTGATTGGCAAGGAAACAAGGGAGCCTTTCATTTTTAGGAGGGCTTTAGAGGGCAAGCTGGGTGGTGCCTGGTGAAGTGGGTGTCTGCTAGTGAGTGACATTTGGTCTATTTTTATAGTTGGAAACATTCTACCCTTAAGCTTATTGTTTAAGCAGGCAAGAGAGCATGCTGTGCAGTCATGAGTGGAATTTTTATATTTGATCTCAGGATCTGTTTCCTTCCTCATAGTTAAAACCTCCATGTGTTTGGCTTCTGAATTTATAAATATTTTATTAGTTTCAGATTCTCTTCTCAATTTACTTATCTTGACCTTGCAGATTATCCAAAGTCAAGAGATTAGAAACATACCTGGCTAACATCTAACAGTCAATAGTTTGAGATTCAATTCCTTAAATTCTTCCTTTAAAAATCATTATAGCTGCTTGATTCCTTTCTTGTATTTTCCCAGGCTCTTGCAACTCATCTGTAGCATCCTTGCTTGAGCCTTGTCAAACCACTGACAAAGATAACTCAGAGTTATTACTTTTTAAATGTATTTGAGCCAATTTCCAATTTTTTTTTTTTTTTTTTGGAGACAGAGTCTTACTTTGTTACCCCAGGCTGAAGTGCAGTGATTTAATTTCGGCTCACCACAACCTCCGCCTCCAGGTTCGAGCCATTCTCCTGCCTCAGCCTCCTGAGTAGCTGAGATTACAGGCATATGCCACCACACCTGGCTAATTTTTATATTTTTAGTAGAGACGAAGGGATTCGCCATGTTGGCCAAACTGGTCTCGACCTCCTGACCTCAGGTGATTCAGCCTCCCAGAGTTCTGGGATTACAGGCGTGCGCCCTGCCCTGATTATTTTTCTCAAAAGTTTAATTTTTACATTGTGAGAAAATTTTAATTTTTAATTTTTTTTTCATTCTTTATCCAACTTGGGAGAAAAATTTTTGGGAAAAAGTGTCCATAAGTTCAACACCAGAGCTATTTTTTATTTCCTATTTCTACATTAATTCCTAGTGTTTGTCCTCATGCCTACAAATTTTTACCACTTTCAGTGAGCTACTCTATATTCTGTTCTTTTCATTTAACATTTACCAGATTGTCTTTCAGTGATCTATTTTTTTTAATTTCTACTGTCCTTTAGACTTGATTGAATTCCTTTAGAAATTAACATTTAAATGATGTATTAACATTTTGAAACATCTTATTTTCTGAGGCTATCATGTTGTGTAACTAACATCAAGATATTTTCACTGTCCCATGTACTTTATATGTCTTAATGTAATTTGTGTCAGTCACTTAGTTTCTCTCAAACGTAAAAGTGAGCTTTCCAGAAAGGATATATAACTTTCAATTCATTGCTTATTTGAATTGCTTATTTAAAGTGTAATAGTTGGCTTTCTCCCATTTTTCTCAATCTGATTTTTTAACCAAAACGAAATCATTAGCTTGATTTATGTCATTTTTTTTTTTTAGACTCACTTTATTATATTTGTCACATTTAGAGACATTTTAAAGGCAATAATAGGCTGGGCGTGGTAGCTCACGCCTGTAATCCTAGAACTTTTGGAGGCCGAAGCAGGTGAATCACTGGAGGTCAAGAGTTCAAGACTGGCCTGGCTAACATGGTAAAACCCCGTCTCTACTAAAAATACAAAAATTAGCCAGGCGTGGTGGCGCATGCCTGTAATCCCAGCTACTCTGGAGGCTGAGGCAGGAGAATGGCTTGAACCCAGGAGGCGGAGGTTGCAGTGAGCCAAGATTGCACCATTGCACTCCATCCTGGGGGACAGAGTGAGACTGCATCTCAAAAATCAACAACAACAAAAACAAAAGCAGTAATAACTTCTAAATAATTTTTAAGTGTACCAGAGTTTATTCTGTCAAAAAAAAATTGTTTAGTGTTTTTTTTTTGTTGTCATGAACATTTGATTTCCTTTTATCATTTTTTTTTTCCTTGGCTTGTAATATATTGAAACTGTTAACTTATAATTCTCTATTATGTATGGTTATTATGTATCTTCACTACAGTTTCTAGCAGCTGAGTGATACTCTCTACATATACATTTATTTGATATTGAGGCAAAGTAAAGAATAATTTACATATTCAGAGGATCCTAAAATCACATTTTAGAGAGTTAATTTCTTGTCTAAATCTTTCTCTAGAGTTGCCAGTAAACAGAAAAAGTTAATTTCTCTCTCTTTCTCTGCCTGCTTTCACCTGTGTTTGCTAATAATTATGCGTTAGGAGAAATAGGTGGACAGCAATAAAAATAATATCTAAGTGATCCATAAATAGGTCTTCAAGTCCGTTTTGGTATTTGAAGTACCTAGAGTGTTGCCTGGGACAAAGTAATGAGTCAGTAGATTTTTGTTGAGTAGTTAGATTGATTGATAACCAAGCCGGTCATTAAAACTGTATTGCTCTCTGGGATGGCCAAGTCTAAAATCTCCTTAAATTGTTCTAAATTAAGATTCTGAAGCTCATCCTGACTGTCAAACTGCATTGATTACCACAATATTGGTAATAACAGAGAGTTGTATTGTTTTCTGAGTGATGGATTGACATATATACATGTTACACTTTTGTTTCTGAAGGAAGTAGAAATTCGGAACAAAGACCTGGAGGGACAACTGTCTGACTTAGAGCAACGTCTGGAGAAAAGTCAGAATGAACAAGAAGCTTTTCGCAATAACCTGAAGACACTCTTAGAAATTCTGGATGGAAAAATATTTGAACTAACAGAATTACGAGATAACTTGGCCAAGCTACTAGAATGCAGCTAAGGAAAGTGAAATTTCAGTGCCAGTTAATTAAAAGATACACTGTCTCTCTTCATAGGACTGTTTAGGCTCTGCATCAAGCTTGCACACACAACAAAACACAAAAAAAAAAAAAAAAAAAAAATTTGAATATCACTCCTCCAGGAGGAGGATCTTTTGAAAATTGGAATTGTATATTTCACTGTAAATTTTAGAATCCAGCTTGTAGCTAGTTGGGGAAAAAAGAGATGAAAAACTTGAACTACAAATTACCTCCATGTATATTATTGGCCATAGTTAACTAGAAAGTTATAAATAGACACTTAATGCAATCTTTTTTCCTGATATTAGCCAATGGGAGAATTAACAATGTCTGGGTCACATCCCCTTTTTGTGTTCAACACAGTGAAGATTATCTGCTTTTTAAATTAATTTATTTACGATATCTAGAGCTGTGTTTTGTGCAAAAACTTAGTGATGAAAGCCTGTCTTTTGTTGTAATCTGAATAATTTCTCAGGATATTTTTGCACTGCTGAGAAGCAGTGCCATTACCAATTAATTCTTGCCAGGAGTGAGAGAGAGCTGTATCTTTAATTGAAATATACTATAACTGGGTGTATAGAGTTCTTCCCTTTTTTGTGCTGGAAGATATTTCACTCTGGTGACTACTCTGGTACACTCTGATGTTCTCTAATCTTGTCTGTTGTATAGTTTACTTTTCCATATTGATTCCATGTATTTATGAGAAGATACTGTCTCCCATTTTATTACACATTTTAAAGCCAACTAACGAAGGCAGCTGAGTCCCTCAGAAATTTTTCTTTTTAAATTTCTAATAAATTTGACACACAGTACTGAAATACAGCAGCCCGTCATTGACGGTCTGGTCTAGCAATGTTAAGTATATTTACAGAATATGCAGTTACATTTATTTATATATTTTGCAAGAAATCTTTTCTGAATGATCAATGCATTTCAATTTACGAATAATAATGGTTATTGGGGAACTGTTTATTATAGATAATTTTAAGGTGTATAGCTATTTTAAAGGGGATCCATTTACATCAAACAGCTGATCAGAGGACGCTATCTAAATTGTGATCGTGGCAGATAGAGATGGAGTTGTGTACTCTATCTGGCTCTACACATCAATCACATCTTGATTCAAACCTCACAAGGCAATATTCTGAACTGTTAACTAGGTATTTCAAAACAGGAATTAAATTCAATAGGCTCTTCTCAGTGAACAGGTTTTAATGTTGTTTTGATGTAATTTTAAAAGACTTTTAGCAAACATGCATTTCTTTATATGATATATTTCTTTTATGAAGCTATTTTAAAAGTAAGCCAAGTGCTGTCTAGTCTGCTTATAAAGTAGGAATTGCATCAGAGTACATATATTCTTGCTGTACAATGCCTGTAATGTTGAGGAGGGTTCTTTTTTAAAGTGTATGCTTGAGTATCTGACTCTATGGAGTCTATAAATGCACTGACTTCTTGTTTGTACCCCAAAATGATCGAATTGTTAAGTACAAAATTAAGCTAATTAACCAATTTGTAACCATTTTTTCACTCATAAACAGCTACTCAATACTAGACAATTTTGTTTTTTATGTATGTGTATGTACGTAAATACATACATATTAATTTACATTAGAGTGAAAAATAAATGGTTTGTTTCTGAAGTTAGTTTCTAAAGTGAGTTTTCAGGTGTCTGAAAAATTTATAACAAACAATCATCATGTATTATATGTGCTGTAACAACATGTACGTTATCTCCATCTCTTTTAGGATATTTTCCTCTCCTATTTATTATAGGGAGAATAATTTAGATATACATGCTCAGAGCTGAGATATTTCTCTGATAAATCAGGTAACAAAATGTATTTGATTGATGGAATTTTGAAGTAAATGTGATTTTATCCATCAGTTTCTGAGTAACAAAGAGCACCAAGTTTTAATTTAAATAGGGGATTTAACACTGGGGATCAGGGAGTTTAGTTATGAAGAGTTAAAAAAATTAAAAACCAGTGTAAGCTGTTGAAATGGCAAGTGAATTATTTTAATGATGTAGTAAAATATTTTTAAATTTTGACATAGTGATCATTTAATGAAAAAACTCACCAAAATGTCTCCATTTGAATTGTATTGATAATGTGGGACATATGTGTAATTCAATATATACATATACCCATATGTATATACAGAAAATTATTTTTAATACTTTCCTACTGATATGAAATTTAAAATTGGAAATTTTGTGAGTGTTTTTCTTGTCCAATAGAGCCTAATTGTTTCCTTTTTTAATGATTTAACAATCTCTTGAGGGCTGCACCTTTAAATTCCCAGATTGTCAATAGACATGTACAGTATATGGGATAAGGTGGACACAAGTGCACATATATATAAAATCTTCTTAAGACTTTTAACTATTCATTTACAGTAGGAGAGTATGTAGAAATCATCATCCACAAGTCATAATTAGGTTGTGTGCCTACTGTAGCTTTTTCCATTTCTGTATTATATAAACATTTGCATATTAAAATTTGATTTTTCCCAGAGACAAGTATTATATACTGTATCTGTATTGAAATCAAATTGTGGTAATATATTTCTCAGAAAATAATGTTGGGGACTGTAGCCTGAACATGTGGACTTGAAGCGACCTGGAGGAGGAGGTTGATCCCGTTGTGTATAAGTTAATATGTGATAACTCTCGAATCTTGTACAAAAACAAAAATTGAAAAAAAAGAAAAGCAAAAATACAGTTTTTATTTTGAAATACATTTGTTCTCTGGAGAATGTACTTTATCTTTTTTTCCTCCAGTCTTTTACAGATATTTAAAAGCATTTAAATGATGACAGCATTTACTTAAATCTTTCAGGTGCTACTGGATTTTGCATTAGTGTGTTATGTTGTGAAATCCTAACTTTGACATAAAAGGTTTTATAAGTATTCCCCTGCCTGGAAAATTAGTTTTTGTTCTCCTCTCTCTGTCTGTCTTTCTCTTTTCCACTTTCTTTCTGCAGACTAAAACATGCTCACGAAGTTGCATCTCTCCTTGTCTCTGTAGAAGATCTCCAGTACCATCATAGATTTGATGTTCTGCTGTCATTGAACTGTTGGGAAGCAGTTAGAGGAAAAACTCACTTTTTTTTTTCAGGTGGAAATAAAAGGAACACTCAAAATTAAGCCACCACCACCACTACCTTTAAAAACTAGTTTCTTTGCCCTGTTAAAATTAAATGTATTCTTTAACATGTGGGCTACAGTCTCCCATGTTTTTATTTAACTCTGAAGTATATACACTTCAGTCACTTATCTCCTTGTGGTCCTGATTTTGTCAGTAGTGGAATGGGAGGCAGGTTGGCGAAAAGTTTGTTTGATGGCAGTGGATTATTATTGTCGTTTTAATCATTGCATTTATTTGATATCAAATGATTTTGACATCCTGAAATTCTGTGCTTGAAGTCATGAAATGGTTTTCATTGAATTTTTGCCTCCTAAATGTATAGCATGCAGTAAATTAATTTATACAAAATCTTGAAGAAACCTTTTGGGTAAGAAGTAGTTGAGACTGACACTTTTAGAAAATTTCTCAATTTCTAAATTTAGAAATTACTGGAAAAGGAAAGGATGTGTAATTCACCTTACTCCAAATTGTGAAAGTGTATTTTTCCTAATATTCATGTTAAACTTTACGTTAAAATTTTTATGATAGTTTTTCTTCATGAGAAACTGATATATAGATGTCACGCAAATACAAGCAAAGTTACTGAATTAAAGTAGTGGGTACTTAGCATTTTTTGTTTATATATTACCTAGTACAACAGCTAAAAATCATGTCCCAGAAAACTCAAAAACTCAATCAGCACTACACAGCCTAGTGGTTTCCGCTTAGTACACTAAATAGAAAAAAAAAGAAAATTATTTTTACTAAAAACATGAACTAAGGAGAAATTGCGTCTGGACTAGAATAGACAGAAGGCCACAAACTCCTAGTCGACTTCTTGTCAAGTCTCTGATCTCTGTAAGGACCTCTCCTTTAGGTTAAAGGACACACCGCTCCTCGGCCTTTTGGCTAAGATCAAGTGTAGGTTAAAGGACACATTCTAGAAAACACCAAGATTATATCTGGGTGGGAAGAGGATGTATTTTGTGAAAGCAGATGCAGAAAAAAGAACAGGAACGTGCTGCCTTCAGTTTTTATCTAAGACATATTAGGATAGCCAGAGACAAAGACCAACTATCTCCTACCTTGCTGCTGCTTTTAACCAAACAGACTGAGATGGCACTAATGAGTTTCAGAGACTTTCAGAAAACCCTGTCACGTGTCTTGTCAGGATTTGTAACCCCATATAAGACACGTGACATTCAGAACTCACCATTTTGTGGGGTTCTGACCTACCTTTTTTTTTTTTTTTTTGAGATGGAGTCTCACTCACTCTGTTGCCCAGGTTGGAGTGCAGTGGTGCGATCTCAGCTCACTGCAACCTCTGTCTCCCAGGTTCAAGCAATTTCTGCCTCAGCCTCCCAAGTAGCTGGGACTACAGGCGCCTGCCACCACGCCTGGCCAATTTTTGCATTTTAATTAGAGTCGGGGTTTCACCATGTTGCCTAGGCCACTCTCAAACTCCTGACCTCAAGTGATCTACCCGCCTCAGCCTCCCAAAGTGCTGGGATTACAGGCCATGCCCGGCCCTGACCTACTTTTGTCAGTTGTTTTCATATCAAATATACCCAGGGATAGAAATATTGCTCTGTTTTCTTCTAACAACATGAAGTGAAGATAATGGGTGCCTAATAAATGCAAATATAAGGCCATTTCTGTAGCACAGAAAAATGTCTTTTGTGTTTTTTTATCAACATTCATGGTTTTTCTCGTTATCTGTGTATTATAACTACATTACTATATACACAGATATATTGTCAGTCACTCTATATGTCTTGTGGATATGACTTACTTGATTATTCTACCTTAATGTATAAAGAATGACTATCTCAGGAAGCATGACTAGAAAGTAAATGTGGTTGAAGTGAATGTTTTCCCTATGACTTCAGTTTGAAATGGAACATCAAGAAGTATGTATTAAACATCAGCTATGTGATAGGCACTGTACTAATGACATTTTATTTCTATGGACAGTGGCATTTCCAGGGGTATTCCTGTGGGAGGGGAGGGAGATAAGGAAGGGGAGAGGCTCAGATGATTCTACCTGCTGTTCCCATGGTTACTGGTCTAAGAGTTGTAGAACAACATGGTAGCTCACTAGCAAATCAGTCTTGGGGTTATCCAGCACACTGGTGAAAAGGTGGAGGTATTGCTTATATCTGTGGTACAGTTTTTTTGGCTTTTCTGCCTTGCCTTTCTAGAGTATCTCTGTTAGGGCACTTGTTAACTAAATATTTCATATCTGCTCTTCTGAACATCTTCAGCCTTCCTTGGTGTTTACAGTACTTCTTATGAAGTTATAAATTATACTTTCTTTGCAGGTGTCATTTATGCAATATGTTTTGGACTCAATTTTTTTTAAAACTTACAAACTTCCAATAATCCAATGAAAGTAAGTAATTCTTTATGTGCATAATTTTAATCTATAAAATTTAAGTAGCAAACTATTCGGCCTTGGGAAAGCAGCTAATCTCTTTAAGTTTTTAATGAAATGAGTTGTAAACCTGTAGAACTCATCCCCCAACACTATATAGTAGATCAACAGGAATGGGTTTTGCTGTTAGTACTGGGTGACTTTGTGGTCAATTCTGGTTCTGCCAGAACTTAATGTCTTTCTTTCTTTCTTTTTGAGGCGGAGTCTTGCTCTATCCCCCAGGCTGGAGTGCAGTGGCGCCATCTTGGCTCACTGCAAGTTCTGCCTCCTGGGTTCACACTATTCTCCTGCCTCAGCCTCCCGAGTAGCTGGGACTACAAGTGCCTGCCACCACGCCTGGCTAATTTTTTGTATTTTTAGTAGAGACAGGGTTTCAGCCTGTTAGCCAGGATGGTCTCGATCTCCTGACCTCGTGATCCGCCTGCCTCGGCATCCCAAAGTGCTGAGGTGTGAGCCACCGTGCCCGGCCCAGAACTTAATGTCTTTCTAGTTTGATCAAACTATTAGATCAGTTGCAGAAGTAACTCATGGCTCTAGGATCTTCAGACAGATGGTAACAAAGATCAGGGTGAAAACACTTCGTGGTTTTTGTTGTTGTTGTTGTTGTTGTTGTTGTTGAGACTTAAGAGTTTTGCCCTTGTCTCCCAGGCTGGAGTGCAGTGGCACGATGTCAGCTTGCTGCAACCTCTGCCACCCAAGTTCAAGCGATTCTCGTGCCTCAGCCTCCTGAGTAGCTGGGATTACAGGTGCACGCCACCACACCTGGCTAATTTTTGTATTTTTAGTAGAGATGGGGTTTTACCATGTTAGCCAGGCTGGTCTTGAACTCTTGACCTCAGGTGATCCACCCACCTCAGCCTCCCAAAGTGCTAGCATTACAGGGGTGAGTGAGCCACTGTGCCCAGCCTCAAGTGTTGAATTGTTAACCTTTCTTATTGTAATAAAATGTGCATAACAAAATTTGCTGTTCTCACAATTTTTTAAGTGTATGATTCAGTGACATTAAGCACATTCACAACATTGTGTAACCATCACCATCTATCCCTTTCCAGAACTTTTCATCATCCCAAACAGAAACTCTGTACCCACTTAATAATAGCTCCCTATTTCTTCTACCCTCTCCACCCTCCCCACCTGCCCCTGCAGCCTGTGGCAACCTCTGTTCTACTTTATCCCTCTATAAGTTGGCTTATTCTAGGTACCTCATGTAAGTGGAATCGTATAATATTTGTTTTCTTTGTGTCTGGCTTGTTTCACTTAGCATAATACTTTCAAGATCCATCCATGTTGTGGCATGTATCAGAATTTCATTACTTTTCAAGGCTGAATAATTTTCCGTTGTGTGGATATATGATTCTTAATTCATCCGTTGATGGATACTTGGGTCAATTCCACTGTATTGTTCTTGTGATTGTTGCTGTTATGAACATTTGTGTACAATTTATCTGAGTTCTTGCTTTCTAGCATTCTTGTGGCTATATATGTAGGGGAGGAATTGCTGGATTATATGAGAATTCTATGTTTAACTTTTTGAGGAACTGCAAAAGGATTGGGTTTGAATTAGGTAAACCTAAAAGAGTTGTAGAACAAGGTGATAGCTCACTAGGAAATCAGTCTTGGGGTTAGTGTCTGGTTAATAGAATGGTTAATAGACCTGTGTGTAATTAATTGGCCCCTGAGTCATGCCTTTTATCATTTCTTTCCTAAAACATTTATTAAGCACCTACTTTGCCGCAGGCCCCATTTTGGAATACAAGCTATAGAGAGAAGCTCGCAGTTCATTGCAGAACACAGTTACTTTGCAGTGCACAAGTTATATGACAAAGGAGAACACTAGCACAGGGCAGTCCAGAGGGAAGAGAGCTTGGGAAGTCTTTCCCAGAGGAGGTGACATCGGCTTGAGGCTTGGTGGAGGAGCAGGAGCTGGCTAGTTGAAGAAGAGGTAAAAGAGAATTGCAGAGAGTGTGCTGTGCAAAGGCTCAGAAGAGTGACGAAAATATTGGGACATATGGAAAGTTAGAATGGATCAGTACAGCTGAAGCATAGGATGTTAGGGAAGGACATGGCAAAAGATGGAGATGCTCTAGCCAAAGGCAAGAGCAGGAAGAACTTTGTAAGTCATTTTAAAGATTTCCGTTTCATGCTGAAGGTAATGGAGAAATAGTGAGGATTTTTTTTTTGCAAAGAAATGATATAATCAGAAATATATTTTATATAGCTATTATGTATCTACAAAAATTAAAAATTATAAAAAATAGGCCGGGCACAGTGGCTCACGCCCATAATTGCAGCACTTTGGGAGGCCGAGGTGGGCGATCACTTGAGGTCAGGAGTTCGAGACCAGCCTGGCAACATGGTGAAATCCCATCTCTACTGAAAAATACAAAAATTAGCAGGGCGTGGTGGTGGGCCCCTGTCATCTCAGCTACTCTGGAGACTGAAGCAGGAGGATCACTTGAACCCGGGAGGCAGAGGTTGCAGTAAGCCAAGATCATGCCACCTCACTCCAGCCTGGGCGGCAGAGTGAGACTCCATCTTAAAAAAAAAAAAAATTATAAAAAATAATATGTTTTATAAGTCAGGCAGCTATGTAAATCACAGTCCCTGTTGAGAGGCTGTGTTATGGCAGTAGCGGTGGGAATGGATTCACAG